AATAATCACCCAGTTTAAGGTGGCGTTTGATAGAGTGTGAACTCGCTGTTTTACTCATATTTATGTAAAGATCGGTGATTTAAAAAATCGTTGACTGCTAAATATCTTGTAGAATATGTACTCGTACTGGTAGTGGTTTGGTTACAACTTCCCAGCGAATTGGAGTAAGTTGTTTGTTTCGAACGGAAAACTGTTCGCCATAACAACATTACACAACGGTAATACCCGTTGTTACCAATGCCGGGGGAGTCATTACTCCGGTCAGAAACGATTTGATACTGGTTTCCTAACAATAGAAAAAATATTGAATACCAAAATACGAAAATACGAAACGCTGGGTGGCTACTAAATAAGTGAAATACATACACATCAATTTACATATATCGACTTGAAGTCAAGCCTACTTATGGTCCATCCAGAAAGTCCTGAGCATCGGCCAATGTTAATAATACTAAAAGGCTAAATGGCCGACCTCTCCATAAGTAATAACATGTAAAGTTTCGAAATTAATTGCACGGCCATTTCTCGATGGATTTTCAAGATGGCGTACATTTTGGAAACCTTGGACCCTTGGGAAAAATATTCATTTTCAGAATTTTCAAATTCGACCCCACCCCCTCGAAATCCAGGTCATAAGGTCAAAAAACAAGTGACACTTCTCTCTCGGATTTTAAAATTCTACGACGGGATTCAACGGACCTGGGTATAAATTCTTTGCGGCACTAGCCAGGTCATCATATTCAGGGACTAATAGACCACACCCCCTGCTTTGGAGTCATCGTGGGGGTGGTCAAATATCAAATTAGCACATTTCATGTAGAAAAAATAACCCCCCACCGTAGTTTCCGAAATTCAACGTCGCGAATAAACGTAGTCTTACCAAGGCCCCCTGTGTGAATGACATTCCATTGTAGTAGACCCCATGGCGACAGGGGGTGTGGTTATCAGCGCTTCTGCCAATACATTACCAATGCACGCCATGCGACATATCATTCTTCTCAGGACGGTAAGGAGATTTCAATGGCATACTTAAAATTTAAATATGCCACACCCCTTGTGGGTGTGGCCGTCACTGTGCAATGAATCGAGATAAACCTGGTCATGCGACATATCAATTTTCTCAGCTCGCCGAGGGGGTTTAAGTGACGTAGTTTAAATTTAATAAACCACACCCCCTGTGGGTGTGGCTGTCGCTATTCAGTGAATGTACCTAAACCTGGTCATGCGACATATCAATTTTCTCAGCTCGCCGAGGGGGTTTAAGTGACGTAGTTTAAATTTAATAAACCACACCCCCTGTGGGTGTGGCTGTCGCTATCCAGTGAATCGAAGTAAACCTGGTCAAGCGACATATAAATTTAGGACGTTAAGTAGATTTCAGTGATATCAACAGACAATACCAACGTACGTCAAAAATCGTTTTTCTAATTTGGACTAAAGGTTCGCCATCATTATACAGAATAAACCGTAGTAACGTTAGAAGTAGCTGACCCTGTAATAACTTTGCACCAAAGATGCGGAGTAACCCGAAAAACTTAATCCACGGTTTGTATACAATTCTGCACAAATGGTGCAGAATAAACGGCTAAGATACATACAAATGGTTTATATTATTTTGCACCAATAGTGGAAAATAAGCGAGGAAAATTGATCCATAAATTTCGCATAATTTCTACCATTTCAGCCACAACCATGGGGATGACTTTCTGCTGATTTGTCTGCACTTTTGGGGCGTATGAAATCAATTAGCCCAATTGTTTGGCACCGTTATGCCTTATCGCTTGTTGGACACGAATGGTGCCACGAATTTCCTAAAAAATGGCCATGGTCCTATTTAATTAGCATCAATGGATGCCAAAAACACATTAACAGACAGACGGACAGACAGACAGACGGACAAGAGGAATTCAATAGCTCCCGTGCTACGCAGGGTGAGCTAATAATTAAAGTTCAGGAAATACGTTCCGGAAATAGTGCTTCATTGTACCCCCTTCTGTAAACTCATTTGACGCGATCAACTGCGATTGTTAGTTTTTTTGCTGCCTTCAACATTGCTACCATGAACAGCGATTTTTCAGTCGGAATTCAGTGACTTCGGGGTCAAATTTGCTCAGAAGCCATACCCAAGGAGGTATAAAAATGGCGCGTCCTTACCAGTTATCCGGAATGGTTCCTTCAAACTCCACATGTCGTTGTTATCAACACAGCCAGGGGCGTATTTCCAGAACTTTAATTATTCTCTATAATGATGGCGAACCTTCAGTCCAAATTAGAAAAACGATTTTTGACATACGTTGGTATTGTCTGTTGATACCACTGAAATCTACTTAACGTCGTAAGAAAATTGATATGTCGTGTGACCAGGTTTACTTTGATTCACTGGTTAGCGACAGCCGCACCCACAGGGGGTGTGGTTTATTAAATTTTAACGATGTCACGGAAATCTAATTAACATCCTAAGAAAATTGATATGTCGCATGACCTGGTTTACTTCGAATAACTGAATAGCTACAGCCACACCCACAGGGGGTGTGGCATTTTAAATTCTACCGATACCACGGAAATCTACTTAACGTCGTAAGAAAATTGATATGTCGCTTGACCAGGTTTACTTCGATTCACTGGATAGCGTCAGCCACACCCACAGGGGGTGTGGTTTATTAAATTTAAACTACGTCACTTAAACCCCCTCGGCGAGCTGAGAAAATTGATATGTCGCATGACCAGGTTTAGGTACATTCACTGAATAGCGACAGCCACACCCACAGGGGGTGTGGTTTATTAAATTTAAACTACGTCACTTAAACCCCCTCGGCGAGCTGAGAAAATTGATATGTCGCATGACCAGGTTTATCTCGATTCATTGCACAGTGACGGCCACACCCACAAGGGGTGTGGCATATTTAAATTTTAAGTATGCCATTGAAATCTCCTTACCGTCCTGAGAAGAATGATATGTCGCATGGCGTGCATTGGTAATGTATTGGCAGAAGCGCTGATAACCACACCCCCTGTCGCCATGGGGTCTACTACAATGGAATGTCATTCACACAGGGGGCCTTGGTAAGACTACGTTTATTCGCGACGTTGAATTTCGGAAACTACGGTGGGGGGTTATTTTTTCTACATGAAATGTGCTAATTTGATATTTGACCACCCCCACGATGACTCCAAAGCAGGGGGTGTGGTCTATTAGTCCCTGAATATGATGACCTGGCTAGTGCCGCAAAGAATTTATACCCAGGTCCGTTGAATCCCGTCGTAGAATTTTAAAATCCGAGAGAGAAGTGTCACTTGTTTTTTGACCTTATGACCTGGATTTCGAGGGGGTGGGGTCGAATTTGAAAATTCTGAAAATGAATATTTTTCCCAAGGGTCCAAGGTTTCCAAAATGTACGCCATCTTGAAAATCCATCGAGAAATGGCCGTGCAATTAATTTCGAAACTTTACATGTTATTACTTATGGAGGGGTCCGCCAATTAACCTCCCGAGAATTCCCTTGCTCAGGACTTTCTGGATGAACGATAATAATTTGGAGCGAAAATAATCCTTGCACTCTTAGAAATCTGGTATTAAATCATAACTGACACGGGTTCGTAAATATATGTCTGACGCTACCGGTATGATAATAATGGGAATTACCGTTTAGAAATGTTGTGATCACGCAAAATTTACCACTCAGAAATAAATCAAGTTTGTACTACCAAGTTTGTATTAACTTCTTACCGGATTTGTACATTGGTAATTGCTTTTGTGCATGACCAGGCAATTTTAATTTATTTCTTACATTCTTCCCGATCTTGCATTTTCTCATGTTTGAAATAAATCTCGCAACAATTCTGATTTGAAAGATGAAAGAGATTTGAAAGATTTGATTTAGCGAAACAAATAGCTTGCGATCTGGAAGTGTTATAATCTCTTTTTAAATTACACGCATTTAATATACTCATTATACACATATTATTAACGTTTCTTTGTAAAATTCCACCATATTTTTCCATTCTGCTGGTAAAAAAGCAAGTATTAAAGTGATAATAATAATACCAGACATATCGTATTACCAAATATCGCACGGGTGGCACACTAAAGTGCAGAGATGTTCAATTACAAATGGAAGTAATTAATTCTTAATTACTCCGTCTGCGAAAATTGGAGTTAAGTACCAATTACAAGCGTCTTTGTCCAGTAATTGAACTTAATTATCAATTACAATTACATTTAATTGATGTTCAATTACCAGTTACCAATTAGTAATTGAAAGTCAATTACTTAGTTACTAATTACTTAATTACTAATTGCTAATTACTTAATTAGTAATTACTTCATTACTAATTACTTAATTACTAATTATTTAATCCTCATACTTAAAATTAATTAAACGCTATATATGGCTAACTTTTTTCGACCAAAAGAGTCATTTCGAAATAGGATAAAACTTTTATAAATATCTTGGTACAACAAACAGTTCAAAAGCAGTTTTAAATTGTTGTGGATCTTTACTCTAGATAGATAATGTTATTTTCTAATTACAACATTAGAATTGTTAGTGCGTACATTTCTATCTATTGTATTTTTCCTGACTCTGACAAGCGAGATTAAGTAATTGATCAAAGTAATCGAGTATTCAATTACTAATTACTACAGTAATTAAGTACTTCGAATTTTAATTACTCCAGGTCCTTAAAATACTTATGTACTTTGAAAAATACTGGAGTAATTGAAGTCAATTATCAATTACCAATTACTTCAAGTTCGATAAGTAAGTAAGTAATTAAGTACAAAAGTAATCAAAAGTTCAGCCCAAGAATGGTTACGTATGATTCGATATGAAGAGCAAGAAATCTCCATGAAATTGTGCATGAGATTTTGCATGAAAATATGCATGCAAAATGTGGATGAAATTTGGCACGTTGTGTTGCAACACCCTCTTCTGGCTCACTGCGCGTGCATCTCTGGGCTGGCCAGGTTTCCCTCGATTTCCAAACCCACAGTTGAAAAGTGCCTGCCTCTTCGAAAATAAATTAAATATTTCGTCAAATAAAGTACAAAATTTGGACGGAGGTTTTTTTTGAATCTTAATAAAGTTGGGAACTAAATTATCGTGAAACTTTGCACAAAATGGCAGCCGCAGAAGCCCTAACGAATGCACTGGTAATACATAAAAATACTGATTTAAAATTTTAAAAAAGTCGAAAAATTAAAAATCACTTAACATTTTGGCGTGATTTTTAATTTTTTGTTTGGTATTTATACCAAGGTAATTCACGCAGTCTTTAAAAACTTTGTAAAATCTGTAAACATTTACAAATATTTCGTAGGAATTGTTGAATAGCGTAGAAATTGGTGTAATTTTTTATCAGAGCATGGGCGTCTTTTTTATTTCGAAAACGTTTTTCAAAATCATGTTACACAATTTACGGATTTTACGAAGTTACCAAGTACTGCGTGAATTGTCTCATTGCTCGGCGAGTAAAATGTAGGTAATCAGTTTTTCCGATATTTGGTACTTTTGTATAAACTCTATAATTGATAATGCACAAGTTGTAATATTTGACTTTTCACTTCAGATAACAAAATACGGCTGAGTACATAACAAGAAATTTTGGAATTTCTCCTAAGTTTCCACCAGATTACGAAATATCGCAATATATAAGCTGACCAAATCGTGTCAAGTCAAGTGTCACATTTTAATTACAAACCTTACACAGTTACGAAGGTTACAAACGTTTCCGTGTATGAACTTTTACGAAACGTATTTATGCATTTCGTAAAAGTTCAGAGATCAAATTTCCTCAAAAATATATATAAAAATTCGTAAAACGTTTACTCCGTTACAAACGTTTCCTCATTACAATTTTCATAATAAGTTTCCCATTTCATATTTCCACAGATCGTCGATGCCATCCTCAAACGTTGTCCCGACCCCTCCGACATTATCCAGTTTCGGCTCGTGTCCACCCTCTGGAACGAAGTCATCCTCTCCTTCAACTCGCCCCCCCGGGTCACCGTCCACCTCAACCGGGTCGTCCCATGGCGCGGCCAGGTCGCCCAGGGCCCCTTCATCAGCCGCCGCAAGTTATCCTCCTTCCCGCAAAAACTCCTCAAATCCGTCGCCCTCATCGCGCACCCCGACCACGACGCCATCCTCCCCCAAGCGATCGACCTCCTCGCCCACGCCAAAGTCAGTCCCCACATCCAACACCTTTCCGTCCTGGGGGGCGCCTCCGTGGGGAAATTTGTGCACCATATTTTCGCAAAATGCGAATTCGAAAACCTCAAAAATTTGCGGGTCGTCCTCGATGAAGAAAGAGTGCACACCTACCAGCGCCGCTACCGCGACGATGTCACCTTGCCGGAAGTGTCCAACCCAGAAATTTCCGAAAAACCTAAACTCCTCAAAATTCAATACATCGTAGAATCCAAAGTTTTCCTGGGTTCCGACGTGTCGGAAGAGCAGCAGAAGTTTTTAGGTTTTTTGCTAGCCGTGACGCCGAATTTAGAAAGTTTACGAGTTAAGGATGACTATTTTTCGGAACTTCCCGCCATTCTTGGAAACTTGTCAGAGTTCAGGTTTACTTGGAATATTAGATTGGATAATACGCCGGATATGGTAACGTTGCGAAATTTGAATAAGTTTCTGGAAATTGTGAAAGTTTCCTTGGAGCGGTTGCAGTTAACCGTGGGTTTTACGGGGTCTCGGAGGTCGTACGATTTTGCCCAGTTTAGCGGCGAGTTTCGTTTTCCGGCGGACGGGATTAAAAACTTGAAATGGTTTGAGAACGGGGCCATGCGGATTTTCAAGTGTGGAGTGCGGGATTTGGAGAAAATGGGGAAATTACAGCATTTGGACTTGTGCGAGATTCCGAATGAGGTTTTGCAAAAGGCGAATGTTTATATGGGGAATATTTTAAAGAGGAATAAGGCGTGTTGGGGGGGAGTTACGAATTTGAAACTGTGTTGGATTGAGGATCTTGAGTTGCTGGAGAAAATTGGTGAGTTTGGAGGGTTTTTGACGGGATTAATTTTAATTAAGGATCGTTCATAAATTATTGTGGAGGAAAGGTCGATCTAAAAATCGTAATTTTTTCGCTGATTTTTTCATGAAAACTAAAGCAAATTTTATCCTTGGCAATTTTTAAGTTTTTGCAACCGAATTATTTGTAAACTGCCCCTTCCCCATAAACATTAGTTTCTGTCTAATATTTATTTTAAACCGACACAGGTCCATCGTTCCCGTCTCTGAGGCGACTAAATATCAACGTTCGGCTCTGGAACGTCAACCGGGGCGAGTTGAACATTTTCCTGCGAATGATTTTCGAAAGGTTGGCTTCCATCAAGGCGTTGACCCACATTTCCGTGGGGGCTCCCTTTCCCACCAGATTTTCCGGATTTGTCGACTTCCTGGAATATTTGGCGACATCTTTTCAAGGTGAGAATTTCCCAGATTTCGAAACAAAGTGTACTTAGAAATTGAGACAATTGACGCAGTCCTTGATAACATTGTAAGTAAAGTCCGTAAATTATGAAAACTTATTTACGGAAGCTTACAAAATGTTATAAATATTGGGAAGGAAAATTAGTTACAAATTTGTGTAAACTTAATCATATCAAGGGCGTCTCTTTGGTTTGTAAAAGTGTGTAAAGTTATTATACCAAACGCACGGATTCCCTGATTAATTGATTTCTTCATTGTCAAATTGGCAACCTTCTAAAAAAAGGTCCGCACATGTGATGTGATGCACACGTGATTCCTTGATTTATACGTATGCGTCTTGAGTCATTAATTCTTATCTTTATTAACAGATGTGAGCGAGGTGCGCCTGGAGCACTGCACGTGCGACGAGTGGACAGAGGACGGCCCGTTCCAGCGGTTTTACGTCCCCGCCGAAGTTGACGCCAAACAAATGCGCCGATTTCGCTCCCTGGTTCCCGCACTTTTGGGGTGTCGGGAATTAACCGAAATCACCGGCGTGGATATCGCCCGCCTTCAAAAGGGCCTCGTTTTTCGGAAAGGCTCCCCATTCCAGAGTGAATTACCATGGAAGTAAAATAATTAGGCCGGGAAAAATTACTCTTCGTCTTTTTAACCCGGGTTTTACTAATTTATGTAAAACGTATTGTATTCCTCGTTGCATGCAACCAACATGGATTGCACTGTTAAAAATAATATGATCGAGTATATTTTTACAAAACTTGTCAATCTTATCAACGTCAAATTTTTGTATAGCGTTTACCTTGTTATGTAAACCATTATTCATTATGTAAGTTAGTTAAATAACATGATTTTTTCAATTAGTCTTAAAATATGCGTGTTAAACTCCGCATTAAAACAATGAAAATCTCTAAAAAATAAAAAAATAGTGTTTAAATATGTTTATGTTTATAATATAATTATATATGTTATATATTATTATTATATATTGTTATATATATATTGCTATTTTTATTATATTATTATATAATTATTATTATATATATAATTTATATAGTTAAATTATATGGTTATATATGTATTTCATGCTACAATATTTTGCATTGTTAAGTTTTTCATTTAAATTATGGCAATAAATTGAAATTATGAACACAACATCATTATTCAATATTGCTTGACACTTTATCATTCTATACATGTTGCGACAAATGAATTGTTTCCAACACAAATTTCATTTTTTTTCAAGAAATTAAAGTTTAATTATCATGCACTAAAAAAATGGTGGGAGCGGACCGTTGCTAAGTTGGAGATTGAGATGAACCCCTAGGTCAAATCCGGGCCAAGTCATCTCACACGCTCCAGTGGGGAGTCAATCGATCGGTCTAGATGATACGATCACTTTGGTCTATATTATAGAATTTTGTGAAATAAAAATTGGCTGTGAAATTACTGAAAAACGTATATTTTGGAGATTTACTTCAAAATAAACGTTTTAGTTTTCGAATAATTCATTTGTCGCAACCGTATGGGGCACCACCCCAGAGAAACGATGTCAGTTAATCGTGGTCATTATTAACACATGAGTATAAAAATATTTTTAGCAAAAAAATGCCTTGAGATTGGTGACCAATTTTTATCAAAAGCATATATTTCCACAGGTTACCAATTTATTGCATTACGTTAATTTAAATTGCTTTAGGCAAATTTGTATTCAGATATTGTGCCCCACAAAATGATAATGCATTTTTAATGAGGATGTATTTTTTATTCTATTACACAATTACACTCCAATTAACTGACTGTTCACGATCAGAATACTTTTTCAAGCTTACGCCAATATTGACACGAATTTGGGCTTCGATAAGAAAAGTATTCGGAAAGTATTCACACGGTTTTTGCAATCAGTCACTTTTTCCATGCCGGACTGAATCTGGCAAGGTGTTAATTGTAACCATCTCCAAACTTAAATATGGTATAATTTTACGTGCATAATTGATATGCTGGTCAGGGTCAAGGTTAAGGTTAAAACGGAACCAAAACAAACATCATTATTTTCAAACTCGAAAAATTCCAAGCGTAGTTACCAATCTGGAAAATAGATTATTGTTCTGTTCAATAACTCGATTTCCGACATCATATCCAAGCGTAATTTATATTTCCTAAACCAGTTTAGATATTGAACTGATTGAATGTCGATACAATTTTTTTTACAAAAAAATAATTCTGGCTGTTGATCGTGAAACGACTTCCCTGATCAGTATTTTTCGAAATTTTGACATAGAAACATAGAAAATTTCGTTGTTTCTGAAGTTTTAGCCCGAACCAGGGCTTATGTTATTGTCATGTCCGTCTGTCCGTCTGTCTTTCGATAGCTCTCGAATGAGTTGACAGATTTTTACCAAATTTGGTACAGGGATGCATCTGGGCAATGCAACGACCCAGTTCGAAAATGGGTTAAATCAGAAAAGATTTGGACCGGTGGGGGTCATATAAGAGGGTGGGGTATTATGCATCAAAATTTCAAAATTGTGATAGAAAGCTGAAATTTGGCAGAGAGGTTGCTAATGGCTCCTAATAAAAGAATATAAAGTGAAATTGGAAAACTTTTCAACCGGAGGTAGCCTATGGGGGTGATCCATGCCGATTTTTCAAAATCATCCAATCTGGCTGAAATTTGACGTAGAGGTTGGTACTGACCCCTGATGGAGGAATATGAAGTGAAATTGGTAAAATTTTTGTGTATAGGAACCCTTTTGAAAGAGTATAAACAAAAAGTAATCAGAGGTACTAAGAGATGACCAACACCGATTTCTAAAAGTTTATACATTCAGCTCAAATTTAGCATAAAGTCAAAAACCTACTCCAAGCAACTTTGTGGGGCCTTTTTAGATGGCAATAATACCATCTTGGTAGTCGATGGCAACAGATTTGGGTGGAAATGACCCCCACCGACTAACCACCTGACCGATCATGCCCATCTTTGAACTCATCCTTACTTTTAACCCAAAGATGAAGCTGGCAAAATTTCAAGTCGATAGCTTGTGTTTAAAGAAAGTTATCGTGCGCACAGACAGACACACGGACGGACAGACAGACATCCTGGCAAATCTATAAGGCCATCTTAAAAGGCCTAAAAATAACTTACGATTAGAATTTAGGCGGGTCGAATTTCGAAATTTTTAAATAGAAAATTCTGAGAAACATGAGTTTAGTAATAAATCCTGGTTCGGGCTAAACAAAGCTGTACTGATAGGTTTTATAAATGATTTCGTAAAATTATGCCGGTCTATCAATAACTTTTAAATGCACTCATCATAATGCATTTTTGCAAGAATTTACGCTGTTTTTTTACGGTAACCAGGCAACTTCACTAAAAATTTCGAAAAATGCTGATCAGGCAAGTCGTTTTACGATCAACAGCCAGAATTTATTCTCGTATGAATATGTAGATGTGTCGTACATGTCCTTATAATCCAAAAATTTGAATGCATCGTGAAAGCATTCATGAAAACGTTCAAATCCTCAAATTCAAATTTATTACTAGGCTTTCTAACCTGTAGATACGTATGCAAACTTAAATTCTCAACTGAAGCCATAAAATTTACATGCATAATTAATTACGCATCTCAAAAACATGCTACTTAATTAAAACATCGAAATGCTTGTTGATCTCTTTTATTGATCCATGAATCGCGATTCTTCGTGTGGGACGAGTTATACTCGTCCCATCTTCGCTGGTCCCCCACCCAACCGAGCCCGAGGGCATCACGTACTCTTTCGTCCTGCGTCCTTTCCATGAGAAAATATATTCTCGGGTTCCGGCCGAGAATAGCCAGTCGCGGAGGAACCAAGGAACACTCAACATCTCTAAAATATATCCTCCTCTCATTCATAATTTGGTGACGACCACGCTCTCCAGTAGTCGCCATCTTCTCCCGACTCCCTCTCTCCATAAAAATATATATATATAGATTCAATCATTCAAGTCCAATCTCTAAATTCCGTTAAAATAATTCCCAGTTTCCAATATTGTAAAGATACTTTATGTAGTAATAAATTCATGAGTTATTTGTCAAAGAGACAATATATTGAGTGGGTGCAAGCCGAGTTATTAAATATATTACGTGTTTGCCATTTGTGAGTCGATTATAGTAACAGTTTTAGTGACTTGTTGAGTTACATAAAAACTCGTGTGTGCAGAACTGACATGTTTGACATGATTTCGAGGTTAAGTCAGGTCAGCCAAGGCTAACTAGAACTTTCAATTAATCTTAACCATTGGTGCAGAATACATCAATTCCCCCAATTATTTCGCACCATTTTGCGTTAACGATTGTTTGCTGCGAGTTGTGCTACTAATGACGGTTAAAATAGTCATGGGACTTATTAGCTAGCATCAATTGATGGAAAAAACTCGCTAACAGACAGACAGACAGACAGACGGACGGACAAGGGGAATTCAATAGCTCCCGTGCTACGCAGGGTGAGCTAATAATCTAATGTACGTATTTAAGCATGAAAAATTTCGATTCGAAAATTTTCATTTTTTGTATCATACATTAGCCTATCATAACTATGTATGTACACGTGAATGTACATATTTGGGTACATGTAACAATTTGCTTTGATTTAACTTGATTTAGACCTTTATTCACGAGTTAATAGTTACCACACTCAAAATAAGGTAGTAATGAATCATTACCATTCGGCATGACTATGCGTCTCTACCACGTCGGTTACGATTTGTCGCAGAAATCGTAATAATAAGTTCAGGAAAATTCAAATTCATTACCAAATATTAAGGAAGTGAATACCATTATATATTAAATTTGAATCTCTCTGAACTTATTATTACGATTTCTGCGACAAATCGTAACCGACGTGGTAGAGACGCATCGTCATTCCGAATGGTAATGATTCATTACTACCTTATTAACAAAACTGCAGTTTTGTAAACTGTGAACTATTAACACATAAATAACGATGTCAATTTTCGATTTACTTCGGATTTTCGAAAATCATGATATTAATTAAATACGTTCCATTTACGTACGTATTGAGGTAACTACTACTCTCTTCTAAAAGATGGTTACAAATTTTAAAACACAGTTTTAAACACCACAATAACCCAACTAAAATCCATTAAAACCCATTGTGTTTTACATATTCTTTTAAAACCATGCAAACCTACCTACATATAAAAAGCCCAAAATCCAAAACCACATATGCTAAAATCCTGCGCCTCAGATTTTACCCATGTCCATGGTACCAATATTTGTATGAATATGAGCTTAAGTGCATTATAATGTAAATACATAAATACATTCATACGTACACACATGCACATATTTGCCTTTCCCCTCGCACCTATTTATTTATTTTCACATCCAGAGTTAAAGCAGTTTTAACTTGATTCTCCAATTTTTACATTTACTTCCTCCAACACTGCGCAATAGTACATGAAGCTAACATAAAGTTGGTGCTCAGATACATACTCATTTGTCTCTGTGCATATTATGCAAGAAGGGATGATTAGATAACCTGCACACTGCTTAAACAAACACACACGTACATATTATAAATTATGTACTCCATGGATTGTCTCACGGTCGAAAGGCTAAAAAATGTTGTCGGTACCTGCCGTCCTTGTGTGTGTATGTAATGTCTCAATTTATGTGTATTTGCAAATATGACTGCGCGACGTGTATTTACACTCTTAAAAATCATTTTACCCTAATGAAAAGCAAACGTACTCTGAATTCTGCATTAAGGAGACCATCATCATTAGCAATTTAATAATTTCGCATAAAGTTAAAAAATAACTTTATGGTCTTAACTTATAAGGATGGTTGCAAAATTTTGTTATGGGCAGGGTAAGGAAACCCCCGGGGTTTTGCTATTGAAAACTCATACCCAAGGGGTTTACCTGGGTTTTGCGGGTAGTCGGCGTAGTCGGGGTTTTGGGGGCAAACTGAGTCACGACCCCATGTAGTAGGGTGTGAAGACAGTCCGCTTTTTCAGCAATTTCGCGGCAAAGCTGCTTATTAATTGAATATTAATAACTTCTTAAATTGTACTGTACTGTACTGTAAATTGTGCAATTGTTGGTAAAGCCCTGTTATCATACTTATTAAATTAGAAAACCCCGACCATCCCGACTACCCGTGGGTATTACTCATTTTTGCCACCCCAAAATCCACCAATACCCGCAAAACCCCAATACCCCAAAAACCCGGGGTAGCATATTTACCCTGGTTATGGGATATTAACACCTTTTTTAAAGCTTCGCCTGAATTGCCTAGAAAGTTACTTACATACATCAAAAAATCAAGCCAAACGTTAGGAATCACGTGACACTCATCTTTCCGATGAATTGCCCCTTTGAAGAAAAATACTTTGGCGGCAAAGTTCAATTTTTGAGTAATTTTTCTCTTGCTTTTTCCTCCAAGTGGTGACAACGAATCCGAATGTGTGAACTATGCTGGAAATATTTTTCTTAAAAAAGATGCAAATCAACAGAAAGATAAAAGGTGTCATCAGATTCGTCATTTTTGGCTTGATTTTTCCATATGTAGAACACGCTACAAAATCCTGACACAGATTTTGAAAAAAGGGGCACTCTTCGTTATGGAATTTGAATAAGGGGCAACCTTGATTACCTTGCCTTGATTTCAAGGTCAGACGTCAGATTTCAAGGTCATGTCATTACAGATAAGGTCTGAGGTTCATGCCTTTGTCTAGGTTTATCCATACTTTTAAGAGTGCAAAAAAACGTAATCTACTCAACTTCCTTGTCCAACCATGTTCAAGTTCAATATCATTTCATTGACCTAATCAGGCATATGTAATGCCTATGACGCAATCTGGGAAAAAACTAGTCAAAAGACATGCAATAAACAATTCCCTGGCTGCCGTTGTTACGCAATATTTGTCGATTTTTCCTTCACTTCAACTTCCTACTTTGTCAAATAAACTGTGACTTATTCATTAAAAGAATAAATTCAGCAATGATTTTGGGTTTTAATGTCGTTTATTTTATTCTCGTTACGATATTGTTCCCCACATCATCAAATCAAACCTCATTACAGGAAGATTTAACCTTAACACAGACAGAGTTGGAAATATTAAACAAGGTAAAGTAAATATGTTGTACATTGAAAATACTTCATCAATCTGTAAAGTTTCACTTTTAAGGATAATATTACCCTTTTGAAAAGTATGGGCACTTTGAATTCTAAATTAAGTAATCTAGCGGAATAGTAACTTCATAAAGTATAAAGTTTACGTTTTCAGACTGCATTTACTACTTTTCAAAAGGGCAACATTATTTTTAAGTGTTTATAATTATTTAATTCACGATTCAATTTATCCCATTAAAGTTTAGGGAATTGGTAAAACCTCGACTTCCACATGAGTATATGAACCAAGATATTTATTTGATTACGTGGTTGAGAGGTAATTAATTCATGAAAATGAAGCACAAATAAATAAGTAAAATTGGTTGCTTGACTGCCAGATTTTATATATTACTTTAATCCTTACCAGCAAAAAAATTTGACATTCCTGCTGCTGAAAACATGCTGATGGAGGTAATTATTTTTATGTAATATATGTAAAAATTTAAGCTTGATGGAATGTACTTTAAAAACTAAAGTTCCCGGGCGAAACATTTTAGGGGTTTTATGCATAAATTTGGATGGGTTTTATGCAGAGAATTGGCTGGATTTTATGCAGAAAAATTTATGCCGAAACAATTTGTGCAGAAAATATGCCGAATTATGCATAAGTATGCTAAACCTTTCGGCAGAATATACCTGTCAGAAGTTTTATGCAGAATCGTTCCTACTTTTCCTGCATAAACTACTTGTGTCGAATTATGTCACATTCGACATACGATTTTCACCTGGGTTACCATTTTGAAAAGTAGATGCGCTCTACATAAATTCTATATTAAGTACACTGTACGAAATCCAGGGTAAAATTTTACACTTTATCAAGTCCCTGTTACACTGAATTCAGAGTGCATTTACTTTTCAAAAGGGTAACACTATTTTTTAGCGTTTACGATCTTGCAATTATTTACGTATTTCAAATTATGTAGAATTTAAAATGGAGAAAAGTACATAATATGGACAATATTCTAAAGGTAAATATGTACTTTATACAAGTGACTTCATGTCAAGATAATCTAAATGGAATTGATCAAGGTAACCACTAATTTCATATTTTACAGGAAGACTGGTCAGATTTTGAGCAAGAGTTTCGTTTCGAAATTCAAGGTTGTGACAAGGAAGGAAGGCCTGGTAAAAAATTAGGGCTTAAATTTCTTAATTTTTCTTTTGTAAAAAAATACACTTCAAAATATATTTTTTTAAAATTTGAAGTCGTGTCAATCCCCGTTGGCGATTGGGACGTTAGACGTGCCGTCCTTGCCGGGCAGAGTGATAAACTGATCCGATATTTCGACAAGCTCCTCGAGGAAGTAACCACGTTAATCCGGGTAGCACAACAAAGTGGGGAAAACATGACCCGATTTAACCACATTATGGACATGGCCAATTATAATTTGCGAATACAAGCTTGTCCGTTGTGTGAGTTTTTTTTTAAAATATGAATTTCGAAATTTTCAATAATTAATAGAATTTGACGACTCATCGTCCAAATCCACACATTTTTCATTACTTCCTGCCTCTAGGAGTTCATAGCAAAATTCTGGATCACAAATTTGTAGTCAGGAAGTTGATTTTGTTTCGAGGCCTTCCAACTTTTCTGGAGCCTCTTTAATGGGAACGTTCATATATTACGTCATTATTTTAGTGAGTGGGTGGTTTAGGTCTTTCCCATGTTAAAATTCCCTATTTTAACGTAAACAATTTTGTATGACTTCGACGCTAAAATACAAATAAGTGCTGTGAAATAATAAAATAATTCGGCTGACTCGGGTAATGTAATCGAAGTTCCATCCACAGAAGTATACTATATGTATCTTTATTGCATATATAGCCAGTAGCTCTTGCAAGTCACAATCACATAGTTAGTTATAAAGTTTTAGTCAAATTTTTTTAGATTAAAATAATGAATAATTGTGATAGTAGTCAGGGGAGTAGAGGGAAAACCAGACTATGGTGGTCAGTCTGGAAAACCTCTACCTGAACTAGGAAGGTTGCCCAGTTCACCATTCGGCCCTGACTACCTGAAAAACCCAGGTTTGACCAACGTAAGACAGAGATTATAGGCGATTTACATATCGGGAAAGGTGGTGATATCCAAATGAGTAGGCGCCGTGCTGGCGGGGGCACGACGGGTTTTGGCTGGAGCGGAGCATCCATGGACCACAAACTAACCGATTACCCATTCCAGGGCTCGGCCTAAGTGACCCCATAAAGGGGCCACGGTACACCCCACAAACTAACCTCCCATCGCAGCACATGACGAAGTCATGGGAACCCCGTAGACCCAGCCCAGCCGCCCCCACCAGCACCGCGCACACTCACTCTTCCCCCGACCACCCCCACATGCTTACCACCCCAATATATCAAACGAAGGTCTCACCTGGGGGAGTCCTCCAGGGCGTAGATCCTCCTGTGCACTGGGTCCGCCGAATCCATTCTTCGCCTGATGGCCAGCTTGTCGTTGCTGGGACGGGTGTGGCAGGGGGTGTCACCAGGCACGCAGGTGGGGGTGTGAGTGGACGAGGCTCACTTAGCGATAAGGCCTTGGGACACACTTTACTAGCCCTGGCACACCCGCGACCCAGATGGAAGAGATCCAGTTGCAGGAGCGAGAGAGAGATACGTGTTGCACAGGAGGAAGCCAAAGAGGAACTCCAGAAGTATACTATATAGTAAATCTAGAAGGCGTAGTGGACGAGCGATAGTAGCCACCTTATGAGCGCCGTCTATGGACATTCACCAACTAAATAATACACTGGCGGGTACTGCACACTAGCGCCACGGGCTGTTGTCTCGGGCAACTTAATACATAGATAGGTATGTGCGCCACCGTCGCTCCATTTGAGACTCAACTATTTCTCTCACATCTAAACCAAAGGTTGGTCCTTGGTTCCATCCAGTATGGGAGGAGCAGCTGTACACCTTGGCCAGTTCCCTTGTAAAACTCTATCCGCGTTTTAAGAACTCCGCGAAAACCAAACAGTAGACACGTACAAATCTGTTGTCCAGCATTTTAGAATAAATTTCCATAGCTGAGAAATTATCAAAAACGTGCTGATTTTGTTAACCTGTGTTTTTCATTAAATTCCCACAGGCATTCCTGTCTACGTGAATCATTTCCTCTCATATGAAAATCATTACCCTGGAACTATGAATTCCATCAAACTTGTAAATTGTGCGTGAAAACATATGTATTTGCTTCCAAGTTATTTTGAAATTTCAAAGTAAATTTTCCTAATTTACCAAATATTTTAGGCCCACCGATATTTCTCTCGTTGTGGCAAATCATACGAGAATTTCTCTCCCCAACGACAAAAGATGCCATAAAGCTGTACGGAAAGGACAAAAGTGAATGGAAAACTGCACTCTTGAAAGATATCGATGCTTCCCAGCTCACTAAAGAATTCGGTGGACTGAACGATGAAGGATATTCGATGGAAGAAATTAGAAAATTACCTAACCTCGAGTGTTCCAGGTATTTATTTAAATACGTATGATTCAGCCTTCAATTTATTTTGCACTCTTAAAAATAGTGCTATTCTTTTGAAACGTAAATACACTCTGAAGTCCAAATTCATAAAATCCTTAGTAAACTTTACTCCTGATCAAGTTAACGTGCCTTTGGATTTAAAATAGTTAACTGAATTTAGTATTGCGAGTGCATTTACTTTATTGAAAGGGTTATATCATTTTTAAGAGTGTGGGAGGAAACTGCCTGTAATTTTGAATTTGTAGCTTATCGATGATTCGGGAGGGGACAAGTGAAAGTTGAGATGAGAAGATTTTAATTAAATTAAATAAATCGTAATTATCTTTAAATACCGATCGATTTATATTAAATTGTGTTGAGAATCGAAAGAATCAAACTAAATGCGTATGAGAGCATATAATAACGATTATTTATACCAATCTCAGTCTCCCTTCGCCAAAAATGTCGGAGCGATGATATGCATCAAGTTGGGATTGGTATGAGAATATTGAGAATAATACAGTGTGAGCAAAAAGATTTTGCACCATATCGATAGTTATTTACAATGGAGGTCTCCCAACTGTGGGATTGCTGGTAGTTGTAGAGCACGTGGAGAGAGCAAAAATATGTTTTGTAGAGTGGTGCGTGGAATCGAACCACGCGTCTCACGTTATCCAGACAAGCACCCTACCACTAGGCTAACCAGCCCCTCTTCATACTCTTGCTCTCCTTTTTCTCCACTACCAAATTCCACTACTTCTCTTCCCCACACAACGTATGCTCACAGATTTGGACCCAACTAGTGTCAATCGATCACAAATGTAATTAGTATGAAATTTGCAAATGGAACTATCTGCCAATGCGCAAGTTTGGCGCAGATATTTGAATCCGAAGTGGGGAAAATGCGCAGCATATTTGGAAAACAAAAAGTTTGCCAGCCTTGGGGTGCGTTTTCTCCACTTTCTATGCAAATATCTCCGCTAAACTTGAGCATTGGCAGATAGTGCCATTTGCAAATTTCATACTACTTGAATTCGTAACCGATTGGGACTAGTTTGGTCCAAATCTGGAGACCTTCATTGTTAGTAGGGAAAAAATTTCATAATTACAAAAAATTTCAATCCAATTTTGCTACAAAATACCAACCAAATATTGTTTTAAGAAATTATGGAGTTAGAGAAATTTATGCCAGAGTTGTAACTATCCTATTTGAAATGTAAATTAAATATACATAAGTAGTACATATATGTGCATATCTGTATTTTGTATTCTGTGTGTGTTTTCAAATTGCATTTTCTCCACTAAAATTTACAACTTACTTAATTCCAGCCTTCAAATATGTATACGCAAACTTTGCTAGATGCGAGCGCTGCATGTGCACGCTTTATTCAATATGAGAATGTCCATGCATACATAACTTCAACAAAAAGGTGGGTTTGGAGCGTCTATCTACATTGTTCGCAGTAAGCTTACTGTAAGTAGGATAATGAAGACGTGGTCTAAAAATTTGCATTTTTTTGATGACGTTCCATATTCTCAGAACTTTTCCCAATTTAGGAGGACCCTCTGTCTGACTTTATGTATATGCAGAGACTGGTCAATCCCGGATTAAGGATTGGGGATTGGGGATTGAGATTAGGATTGGGGATTAATTAATCCTCAATCTCAATCTTTAATCCCAAGTTCTAGAATTCTAATCCTTAATCCCTAATCCCACTATGTCAAGTTTAATCCTAAAGTTGGATTAGAATGGGATTAAAATGGGATTAAATTTGCAATGACTGAAAACTAGAAAAGCCAAACGTCTCTTAAGATCGCTCCCTTTTTGAAAACTGATTGAATTTCGTTCATTTTTATCATATATTTAAAAATACTGCTTAAAATTTTGCAAAACTACTCGAAGCGTGGCATCCTCAATGCACAATTTTCAAAATTGGCGTGAGCTTATAAAGAAATGTGAGTGCTCTGCCCAAATTCTGGTCAAAGCTTTGCGTTAAAAATAGTACCCAGAGTAAAATTAGCATTTTTTCCGTATATAATTTTTAGTGCAAAAAATATTTGTATTCCTAAACGATCAAAATTTTGCATGGAAAATGTTCAAAATATTTCTTTTTCCGAAGTTCAGATTCACTTAATTAATTTAAAAATCTTGCATAATGAAATTTAATGCAAACTATTAATCCAGGACTAAATTTATTCCCAATCCCAGAAAACTACCCAAAATTTAATCCTGTATTAATCCCAATCCCAGATTAAATTCAATCCCTTATCCTAATCCTTAATCCCAAAATTTTAAAATTAATCCTTAATCCTCAATCTCAATCCCAAGATTTCAAAATTTAATCCTCAATCTCAATCCCAAGATTTCAAAATTTAATCCTCAATCTCAATCCCAAGATTTCAAAATTTAATCCTCAATCTCAATCCCAAGATTTCAAAATTTAATCCTAATCTCAATCCTTAATCCCGATATCTTTAATCCGCCAGTCTCTGTGTATATGAATGGAAAAGGTCGCTGTGACTTTTTCCCTTTTTGTGAACAAAACGACCGGCTGCAAAAACTAAGCAGGATTTATTGATTTTTGTGTATCAACGGTTAATTTCACAGAAACATTCTCACATTACTTCAAAACTTCCGTGTACTGCATTTGCATACTGTACGTATTTATGTATTACTCGAGTCCCAATATGGCAACGTTCATACATTACGTCATTAAAAAGCAGGGTGGGTGATTTGGGGAGCCTAAATATCTTACTCGTCAAGCTTATGTATCATGAGCAGGAAATTAATTTAAAGGGGGAGGGTAGTGTAAAATTGGCGTTTTTCATGACGAAATATATGGACGTCCCCTATTTTCATGTGTCCCAATTTGGTACCCTTCGTGGAGCCAGTCACTCTGTATGAGATGATAAAAGGTCTCTTTATGTACTTTCACCCTCCTCCATTTTAACAAAAGAACCGTCCGTATGTGTAAACTGGGCACGATTTTTGTATCCCACCAACGGTCGATCATTTATTCCTTTAAAAATTCTGTTCAAAATACATACATAAATTGGACAACATAAAAACTTTACGTTTAAAATTTCTTGTAACTTAAGAGAACTTTAAGCATGTATAATAAATAATCCTGTATAAAATGTTTTGAGAACATTGTTCTCACCTAGTAAGTATGTAAAGTGACAAATTTGAAAATTACTGGGTTACTCGATCTGATGAAAAGGTAACGCAGATATGTAAGAAGAGGTCTATAATTAATTGCTGCATGATAAAATTATTTACTTAATTTGACTCGATTCTAAAAAAATAATATTAATCAGATTTTATATCGTCGTACTAATTCAGAAAAGACCTAAGTGCACGTGATGCTTAATTCAGAAAAGACCTAAGTGCATAGAAAAAAGTAAGAAAAGACCTATGTGCAAGCATGTATTTACTTATGGCTATATCTTGCCTGAATCATTCTTCATATATCGCGCGATTTAGCCATAAATAAGTACATATATACTTACACCTAGGTCTTTTTTTACTTTTCCTATACACTTAGGTCTTTTCTGAAGTAAGCATCGCTTGCACTTAGGTCTTTTATGAATTAGTACGACGATATGTAATCATGTATTGTCACATGATATTTTTTATTTATTTTTCAGACAAACCAAGCTAAGATAGAAATAACGTACCAAAACAGCGATATCTTACTGAAGTGGATGGGTACGGTTACAAATTAATTTTGCGGGAACTAAATAACACTTCTTGCGTAGCCATACTCACGTACATCAATTTTCATTGCCAGGTAATTTCCTCGTTAAGAGTAACGATTTGAAAACATTCCACGAGGGATGGAATCCGTTCAGCAATTAGGCGGCCCCACCTCTGACAAAATGTGTCCTCGCTTATCGAAGATGTAAGTCCAAATCATACATATCTATTTACATATGTGGCAGAACCCTGTAATTTTGAAGATCATGTATATATTTATACGCTCTTTTGGGAGTCACCCACGGCCAGGGTGGGTTGGGGTTTTTGGGGTTTTTGTGGGTTGGGGTTTTTGGGGTTTTTGTGGGTTGGGGTTGTTGGGGTTTTTGCGGGTTTTTGTAAGATTCTAAGGCAGATTGAAACAAAATCCCTTAAACTTTAGATCAATGCTAATTACATTCTCAGATTCATCATGAAGTTTTGAGAATTTTTATGTGCCACTTGAATTTCCAAGTATCATTGCATATTTCCAGGTTGACAAGTTAAACATGAATTTTCGATTTAACAGTCCAAGTCAATGATAGCGCTTAAAATTGCAGAATAAATTCGTGTATTAAATAAGTTTTTGCTTAATATATAATTTTTGGAATTTTGGTTTAACCTGCCCCAAAATCTACAAAAACCCACAAAAACCCACAAAAACCCAAAAACCAACAAAAACCCACAAAAACCCCAAAAACCCCGGAAAAACCCCCGGGGTTGGGTTTTTCTAGAAAACCCCGGGGTTTTCCGAACCCTGCCCGCGGCCACAGTTTTAAGGTCTCCATTATGGAGAGGTTTCATGGTGCGGGAAATAATGATGGAGCGTTCAAAAATTAAAAATCGCGATTTTTTAGATCTCTAACCACACCTCCCCCCTTTAACAAATGTCTTATACATAGACACGAAATCTTCTCCCAGGGTTTCAATAGCAAAACCCGCGGGATTTTGCTTACCCAAATTTACGTATTAATTTCAGGTAATTACCCCCATTTGTTCCTGGCTTCCCCTCCGAGACGTGAAAAACTGTCGCCTCGTTTCCCGAACTTGGAACTCCGCTGCGAAACCAATCCTCCGGAAGAAAAGCTGTATTCGTCTCACCTGTTTGTTCGTTAAGGACGAAATCGCTCGAAATGCAAAGTTTCAGAGGGAAATGGCCTTTTTCGGGAGACCCCTGCACCACGTGGTCATTGAAATTTGCCCAGAGGAAATTAGTCCCGCCAATAACGATGACTCCCAGAAGACTCCAGCTTACCTCGATAACGTCCATTTTTTCACGAAATATCTCTCCGTGCAAAATTTGTGCATAACGGGACATCTCGGGTGGCCCTCTATGTTCCAATTTATTGAAAATATTCTCCTCTCGTGTTCCTCCGACTTGGTCCAAGTCGAGATTAAGATGAGTATTGATGAAGATGCAATTAAAGGGGATGACCTTAGAAGAGAATTTTGTGGCGGGAAGATCTTCAACACGGTGAAAAAGCTGGTCCTTTCGTTTTACGCGGAAGAAGAGTTTGAAGTGTCGGCGATCAGAGTAGGACAAATTTTGGCGGCTTTTCCAAACATTTTGGATCTATGGGTTGATGCTGGCCTGCTTCGGCTTGTGTTTCGTGAGGGAAGTTTGTGTCCAAGGTAAGTTCGATGCGACCAGGGTATTCCTACAAAGGGTTTTATTGGGTTGCTTTTTTGGGTTTTAGTGGGCTGTAAATGAATAAAACTAAATGCATTTAGTATTTAATTTAGTATTTAATTAGTATTTAATTTACCATGCTAAGTGGATTTAGTTTGGGTTTTAATTCGTTTGAGTTTTATCCGTACGTATTTTGCCTTGTAGAAGTTGGAACCAACTCCCACACGTTATATCAAGCTAATCTGTTTGCCATTAATATGTATCGTAGTTTTTGAGAACACGGAAAATATCAACAATAAGAAAAATCCCCTACCGTCCAGTACTACAAAAAAATTATTTCTGAACCCATATACAATCTATTTTATGGACAAGGAGGATTTGAAAATGGTTGGAACTTGTTGGATTTTCCATAGTGGTAGAATTTTTTGCCGTGTTTATTACCTACAATCTATTAAAACCCAATAAAATTTCCGTGTGGATTTGGAGTACATATTTACATATTTTTTATACTACATAATTACAGCTTCTTATCCACACTACGGGTCACGGAGGACATGACTGGCTCCCAGTGCGCCGCCCTCCTAAATCTGACCCAGCCCCTTAAGAGCTTATACATCCAGGCCGCCTTCAACCCACCCAGCGACGATTGGGACGAGAAGGTCGACATCGACGTGGCCCCCGTTTTGTACAACGTCCTCTCCCGGCATCGCCACACTTTGGAATACCTTGCCCTCGGATTGGACGAACTGTGCCGGCGGAGCGTTTGGAAACTTCCAAATTTTCCAAACTTGAAACGATTCAATTGTCTGAGCGGCTGCGAAGAGGCGGTTACTTTCGAGTCGCGAAGTATAAATCATTCGGAAACATTTCCAAGGCTGGAATCACTCCGGTTTGCTGAGTGGGATGGGGATTGGACGCCATGTTTCCAGTCCTTTTTCCCCGCCAGGGCTGGAATTTGTCAAAGTGTGAGGAAATTCCACATTTCGGAGTGGCTAGAACCGGACAGTTCGAGCGATGAGGAAGACGAGGAGGGGAGAATTGATGCCAGATTTGGCCGGATTTTGAAATTTTTTCCAAACGCGGACCATCTTTTTATGCAGAGATTGAAGCGGTACTTGACACGGAAGAAACTCATTCTTAAATAAATGGTGGGTGGGGGCCGGACAGAAATTACGTAAGGCGAGAGAGAGTGTCTAAGGCGCCAATGAAATCGGGGACAGGTGCCTAAAAAATCGAGATTTTCGCGCAAGCGTAATTTATGGACGACCCCTGGCCAAATTTGTATCGGCTTGACTTATGTAACTGATAAGTCCGAATTTGAGACTAAAATTACATGCAAATTTGCACATTCGTAATTAACGAATTGGTATCATATGTACCTGTTCAAAAAAACTTTTTTCAGTCAAGGTTGTGTCATCCTGATTTCTGCCTGGAGATTTTCATTCATATTCATCTTTTTTTTTCAAACGCATTTCATTTCACTTCACCTGACCTCATTTCTAACTCGTCCCATGTATTGATAGGTTTATGTTCTGAGATGTATACTTTTTCATGGGTGAAAAATGAAAGGAGTTAGAAATCCTTTCATTCACAGTCACTCATCTGAAATGACGTTCATAAATTATGTAACGCTAGAGAAGGGGGGTGGGGTCTTCAGACTTGCGTTACAGGATGTGATAAGGGGGGTGGGGGGTCAGAGTCCTGCGTTACGTCACTCAAATTCAAATTAACAATTATTCGAGAATTTGTTCAAAATGCTCGGAAACTTTCAAAATCTTCCAAATTGTTTTAAAATTTCCAAAAATTCTCGAAAATTCCCGGAAACTTTTCGTCTTGCGTTTGCACGATAATTCAATAAAGATAGCAAATAACTGATATAAAAATTGAAAATTTCGAAACCATACGCAGTGTCGTATTAAAATGTCAACCCTTCGCTGTAAAAGATTGAAATTTGGGAAAAGATTTACACTTACGGATATACGATAGGAAACTCAACCACCACAAAATATGCATACATAATTTGAGTTCTTCCGACGAAGGGAACTTGTTGCAATTTTACGATGTATACAACTTTAATTAAGTAATTCGATTAAATCAATTGATACAATTTTACAGCATTCTGTATGTTCAAAAACATGCAGAAATGACGGTAGCAACCACTATTCGACCTTTCATTTTTTAAATCTTTATCCCTTACATTTTCGGGAAAATGAGATTTTCGTTACGTTCCACAGGGGGAGGGGGAGTAGTGGTCTTGCGTTACACTAGTGTGACAGAGAAGGGGGGAGTCTGAAAACTCGATTTTTGCGTTACATAATTTATGAACGCCCCTAATCAGTCAGATTTATGAAAGTGAACAGGTATGATTTGTATTTGTAGATGTCAATTCAAAAAATAAAGTTTAATTTGAATATTTTGCATAAAATGTAAATGTAAATTGTAATTGTAATTTATAATTATAATTATAATTTATAGTTATATTATAATTTATAATTATAATTATAATTTATAGTTATAATTATAATTATAATTATAATTATAATTTATAGTTATATTATAATTTATAATTATAATTATAATTTATAGTTATAATTATAATTATAATTATAATTATAATTTATAGTTATATTATAATTTATAATTATAATTATAATTTATAGTTATAATTATAATTATAATTATAATTATAATTTATAGTTATATTATAATTTATAATTATAATTATAATTTATAGTTATAATTATAATTATAATTTATAGTTATAATTATAATTATAATTATAATTATAATTTATAGTTATATTATAATTTATAATTATAATTATAATTTATAGTTATAATTATAATTTATAATTGTAATTATAATAGTAACTCATGTTAAAAAGGATGTTCACTTTAAAATGAGTTTTGCTAATTTACGTTAAAACCTAAATTAATGAATTGAATTAATTAGTAAATTAATTGGATTTTTAAATAATTTATCCTTTAAATATTGATGTAAATATGATTCATGCATTTCAAAATAAAAGTTTAACTTATTTAGCTTGAAACATTTACATACGTATTTATCCATTACTTCAAAACCTCGGTTAAATTGTTCTTAACATAAATAAACTTGACCAAGTGTAAATGCGCAGGTAAGAAGAAATGTGTAATTAATGTTAAAGTACTTTGAATAATTGATTCTAAAATACATTAGTTAACTGATTATATATTCATTTCTGCGTGTGGCATATAATAAAATGAATTTTTTAATTTTTCAGGTATAAACCAATCATAAGTGACGTTCACCAAAAAAAGAACGAAATCCTACGGAGGGTCATCCACGTGTTGTCGGTTTCAGACCCGTCGGTTGTCAGATATCACTGCGATATGTTCGGTTGTCATCCTCGAGCAGTTATCAGATATCAGACTGATCGGTTATCACCCTTATCTGTCACCCTGGCGGATATCGGACTACCAACATTTCTGATGCCCTCCGCCCGCTGGGGTCGGGTATACCCCAACTCAGGTTACCCCAAAACTCGTATCGCATTACCACTAAACTTTGTCAAATCATCCCAAAACTAGTCTCCCCTTGCCCGAAAACCTTATTTCACCCCAAACACCGCCTCACGTTATTCGCAATGCAGTCTCCTAGCCTAGCCACAATAAATGTAGGTTTAGGTCGTCGCAAATCAAGTTATACCGTCATGTTGTGATATAAATTTGAACTGTTGGCAGTTCTTTGTGAGTAATTTGGTGTTATAAGTATAATAATTGCATTTATTTATTTATTAAACAATGTTTCCCCTCGTTTGCACACTGTAAAGTACCTCGCTGGGAAATTTTTGTTCTACTCACAAGATCTTCATTTGATTACAATTTTTTGCCAAATAACTATTTCGATCCACGAGAGAATATATGTAAAAGATTAGTGGCAGGAGGCAGGCCCCTAGGTAGGGGAGAAGGACGGACTTGGCCAGTGATGAAAATAACTTCCGGTGGGTCTCTATAGGTGGGATTTTTGCTCTTCTGTATATCTGGTTGACTTCTAGGGAAGCAGCAGTGGCTTTTGCTGAGAAGAATCTGGTAGCTTTGTGAAAGTGTCCGTTTCTATGGAAGGCGACGCCTAGATAGGTGAATTGATCCAGTATCTCGATTTCCTTTCTTTCCCAAGTAAATTTGTAGCTTGTTTTGGTATTTATCTTTTTCTGAAAAATAACGATTTTGGTTTTAGGGATGTTTAGGTCAAGGCTAAGGTTACGGAAAGTTAAGGCCACAATGTCTAGTTTTTCTTGAAGACGATGTGCAGATCCGGCGGCTAGAGCTTGATCATCAGCAAAGAGCAGTATATGTACCAGGCTCGAACCGAGAGATATTGCTGGGGTGTTGCACGTGTAGAGGTCATCCACGACGAGGTCAATGAAGAAGTAAACAATATTGGCGACGCACTTTCACCCTGTAACATTTGATTTTGCCATTTGCATGGGCATAGATATTTTGAAAAAGTCTGAGTACTTTATTTCCAATTCCAATGTGTCGCAGCTTTGACCAAAGCTTGTGCTGCGGAGGGCAATCTAAGGCTGATCGTAAATCCAGGAATGCAACAAATAGTTTACCTCCATTGTCTTTGAGCTGCGAATGAATGAGGGTAGTCAAGCCGAAAATTTGCTCCTGGGTCCCAACTCCTTCCTTAAATCCAGTTTGGTATTCCGAGATTTTCCCCTCGTGTCTGCTCCATTTTTGGAGGCGTCGTGATATTATTGATGTGAGGAGTTTGAGACCCGTGGCAATTAACGAGATTGGCCGATAATTAGAACCACCATCATCACAACCACAAAAATAATTAATAACAAACAGGTTAGCCAAAGACAGGAAAGTTATTAAATTCTACGTGCAGAATAGTAGCCGTGGCAGAACAGTATTAAAAGCTGGTCGAACTTGCTATTTAAAAAAATTATTTGAGAAAAATTGCACATTTTGTTTTACATAACTAATAATGCAGCCCAAAATGGCTAACAAAATACTTATAATTGTAATTATGAATTTATATACGTATGTTTTTAGTTCTAGCTGTACTAATATATCAACACAATGTGTAAATGTTAACGTTAAAATTGTGAATAGTCGTATTAGTTATGTAGTGTTGTCGAGAAAAATATTTCCTCGCATGTTGTAGTTTGGACATTATTCCTCACCCGAGTTTCTGTGCGTGGCTTCGGCGACGAATCTTTCCCGATATGCGACCATTAAGGACGCTATTTGTAATCGATTGGATTGTACATCAGTAAACAGGTAAGAATTTATTGATGCAAATAATCGTATCTAATATACCTCTGTCTAACATATGAGCAGAAGACCTTCAAGAATTCTATACAAAGAAAATATCGCATGCAAGTATGACGACGACGAAGGGAAAGATGCTGCAGAGGCGAACCCACCTTAACACCGACACCACGAACAACAAACGAGGAGGAGACGCACTTTGTAATGAATACATTAATTCTCACATCTGTTTGCGTTTTCGTTGGTCTTACGAGGCTGGGACAGTGCCCGACCGTGCAGTTCAATGATTTGCAATTAAATATTTTAATGCTAATAAATATTTTAAATAATAGCAGAGTGATACTTCGTCATCTGATGAACTACACATCCCCCATCACCTCTTAGTTCATCCCCATTCTCCCAACAACGTATGGAGATTGGAGAGATGGACCCGCTTGATGGGAATGTGCGATTTTTAATGATTTTCCCCTCACACGGTAATCTAATATTACGTCTTTCCGATGGGAATGCAGCACAACCGAACCCTTCCACTCAAAGATGGTCCAACTCCACTTCTTCCATTCCCGTTGTTAGATCATGAACTCCTAATATTTTCTCAATACCCGGTAATAACTGTCCTTGAAAACGATTATACCGGGTATTAGTACTTACTATGGTATTTCCCAGTATCAATCCATCGAAATATCTGCAAATACAATCATATTTTCAGTGAATTAATCCTAATAAAAACAAGTAGCTGCTGGGGCGGCATCTTGGTTGAGAGGTTAGCCCTCTTCTTCGCACTCTACTCTTAACACTTAATTAAAAACCATGGACAAATTATGAATCACCTTTCTCACATTGCAATTTTTACCTGCAAAATTTAAGTAATCATCATCATCATTAGTCCCAACTGTTACATTGTCGGACCTCTCACCAAAATCAAATTAATATGGATTGCACATTTTGTGTACAATGTTTGCTCATTTGTATGCTCATTTGCTCAAAATAGCATGCATTTGCGTGATAAACGTATGCTATTTTTCCGAAGGGAGTGGGAAGGGAAAGTGCGCTTTTCACCCGCCTCTCATCCCACGGAACGCGACTTTCTCCGCTCTCCCCTGTGAAATGTGTCCCATTGCGACGACATTCTCTCCTCACTTATTAATTAGTTCGTCACTGCCAACTTCTGAGGTGTGATACGAAAAAGTTTTCGGCTAACGCGAAATGCGTCATGGGCGACCGGAGACGGTGTTTAAAAAGATATGAGAATGTTTAGGGGTAACATGAGACTAGTTATGGGGTGATTTAAGAAACTTTAGGGGTAATGTGAGACAAGCATTGGGGTAATCTGAGGCAGGGTATACCCCACCCCTAAAGGGGGTGAGAGGGCATTAAAAATATTAAGAGTCTGATATCCGCAAGGGTGGCAGCCGATAATGATGATAACCGATCAGTCCCTCTGATATCAGGCTTTGATATCTGATAACTGCTCGAGAGTGAAACCCGATCCTGTCGCAATAATGTCTGACAACCGACCGGACTGATACCAACAGCACATGGATGAGTTTTCGATGTTTTGCTCGATTTTGACCAATTTTTTTCGAGCCAGATCCCCAATGCATGTGAATGTGGTTGGGCTTATTTTGTTCACAACAATTAGTAGCATCCACCTGACCGTCAATTGGACCGCTGAAAAGGTCTGGGTCGCAAGTCAAGGACAGCAAAGTACCTTGCGCGTTACGTTTGGACACCCGAAAATAAGTCCTGTCAAGGGGCGTGGTACAAAGTACCCTTGGTTTTTGACCTAGGAGGTCCAAGCTACCGGTATTCGACGCAGAATATATGGTTTCTGTACGGTTTTGAAGTGGGGAAGTTAACATTTCATAAACATGGACAATATGTCGGAAAAACGAAAAAAAGGTCAAAATTTTCAGGTAAAGGGCATTACAACCTTTGACCTAGGGACTTGATTTTTGCGCACACGTAGACCGACCCCAAATGATAGGTCATGACAAGTTTGGAGAATTTGTCGCTTTTGGGGGCCAAGAAAAATCTGGGGGAAGCTAAATTACCCCCTGGGGGCGAGGGGGTGGGGCAATTCGAAAAAAAAATATTTTTGCGATTTTTTAAATTAATTTCCAACCTATTCCCGCTATCGACTTTCAAATAAAAAAATGTCATGGATTCGGCTTGTATAGCTATATCGAGAGTCCGTCCGGATCGATGTTTTTGAAATTCAATCCGACTTGGTAGGGTCGTACAAATAATCAATCCGATCCGACTTCGTCGAGTCATAAAACATCCAATCCAATCCGAGTCTGCCGGATTCGGATTGGATTAATACGGTTAAGTCGGATATCCTACTAACTTATTTACCACAGCGAAGATTTTTTTGGTGTTCTTTGATTTTATGTACACCCTATATACATCTTTTTTTAATCCTCTCCTGCTTACAGATTTTTGTCCAAGCCTTGGGTCACCGAGGACATGTCAGGCTCCCAGTGCGCCGCCCTCCGAATCTGACCCAGCCCCTTAAGCATTTACACATCGGGAGAGCCTTCAACCCACGCGGCGCCAAATATGGCGAGGGTATCGACGACGTCGACGTGGCACCTGCGCTGCACGACGTCCTCTCCAAGCATCGTCACACACTGGAATACCTTGATCTAGATGTAGACAAATCGAGTGTTTGGAAACTCCCGAACTTGAAGCGATTTAATTTTATGGGCGACATTTACTCTGTGGTGACGTTCGAGGGCTCGGAAATCATAAATTATTCGGAAACATTTCCAAACCTGGAATCGCTCGGGTTCACTCCATGGGATGGAGATTGGATGCCTTGTTACAAATCTTTTATTTTCCCGCGAGGGCGGAAATTTGTCAAACTGTGACGAGACGGAAAATTTCGGACGAGTTTGAACCGGACAATTATACCGACATGTTATCCAAGAGTGAAAGCGGGGGGGGGGTGGGGAATTGACGCCAAGTTTGGCCGGATTTTGAAATTGTTTCCTAATGCGGATAACCTATTTATGCAGGAGTTGAGGAAATATTTGGTTAAGAAGAAACGCATTTGTAAATAATTCGAATTTATGTACTGATAAGAACTGATAACTTATCGGCTCTTGACTTATCAATTTTGATTAATATCAATATATTTTATCAATGTCAAATTAAAGTCTAAATAAAAAAGAATTATACTTTGAAGATAATTTTGAAAAAGGCAGATATACGTAAATATTTATGTAATTAACGACTTCGTATCTGTAGACTTTTCACGATTTAATTAAGCAGTTAAAATTGGATTTAAATATTTTTTTTACTTAATTACTTCCATTAAGGGATAGGGAATTTTAACATGGGAAAGATAGGAGGACCTAAATCACCCACTCACTAAATTGATGACGTAATATATGGACGTTCCCGTGCGCTTGCATCAGTCTCAAATTTTCTCAATCAACTTCGAGTGAACCGGGTTCCTCGTCCTTTCCACAACAAAAACAGCCGGCTGCATTTGTCAACTACGCAGAATTTGTTTACATAAATATTACAGAATTTGTTTCTTAAAAAAACGGGCTTCAATTTTTGTTAAAATACATAAATTGAACAAAGTTAAGCGGTTTAAACGTATTTTTTTCAACTTCAAGGAATCTGTAAGTGGAACAATTATCCTTTTTTCATTTAAGTATTTTAGCAAATACAGATGTTTTTATACTTTGGAAACTACAGAATTATTGGGATTATTATTTATCTGGCTGAAACAGACTTACCAAAGGCGCAGCAGGTAAGAAGAAATGCAGAATTGTGTTGTGACGAATGTATTTATTTCACTTATTTGACTATGCTCTGCTCTAAAATAAATTATTTATTGCGTTGCGTAATGATTCGATTCGAAACAATTAAATAATTTATTTGTACATATGCATTGTATTTTAAATATCAAAAGATTAGATTTGATATTTATGCATAATTTGTATGTTTCAGATATTAACGAAGTAAAAACGACACATAAAACTATAAAAAGCTCGCGAAAAGTTCAAAAATTTTAGTAAAGGCGATTTGGTACAGGTACACGTATGTACATATTAAACAAAAATAATTTCTAAATTTTCGAAATAACAAACATAACATTTTCGTTATCAGATATTTGCCTGAGAAAACAGGATTTTAAGCATGCCACGAAAGAAGAAATCGGGACAAAAATCGGTCCCCACTTCGAACGTCGAAATTCTTCCCACGCTTAACACAGACGTAAGATCAAGCCAAACAAAAAAAATCGTAATTTTTAACGTAGAATTACTTCACAAAAATCAGCACATATTTAACACTTCGTCATTTTAATATTCAGGACGACAGATTTGTCGCCAGTTCGTAACTTGATTAATGAAAGGGTTGTGGGATTTTTAAGCCAGCTACTGAGTTTAGGAAACAGCTACTACTGTTTCCTAAACTTGAAATCTACTCCTTCAAAAACTTTCAAAATAGGGAGCCTATATTTTTTAAATGGCAGGAACAAATCCGCTTTACAAATTCGTTGTCCTGAATTTTTAAATAAATCCTTCAAGCAGGAGTGTAAAAAATGTGCTGGTTTTGATTTTGACGATAAGGGTTCGAACTGTGATGCAAACTTTGAACATGAAAGCAGCGAGACAATTACTAATTCGTAATTTTTTGACATTTTTTGCGGCTGTGTTTAAATATGCATAGTGGGAATATGTGGGATTTTTTTCTAAAAAAACATGTATCTCGAACCCATGTGCCTTAGAAATAACGCATTATCCAATTTCCACAGGTAATTTCCTCCATCTGTTCTTGGCTTCCGGTCCCAGACGTGAAAAACTGTCGCCTCGTGTCCCGAACTTGGAACGTCGCCGCGAAACCTATCCTCAAGCAGAAAAGTGTTATCAACCTGGAATGCTCCTTCCATAAGGGCGAAACTGCTCGAAATGCAAAGTTCAAGAGAGAAATGGCCTCCTTCGGACGACCCCTCAACCACGTGGACATTTCCCTCGACGAATTCGCCATAGTCGACTTCAAGAGTAAACTTTACCTCGACCATGTCAAGTTTTTCACGAAGGACCTCTCCGTGCAAAAGTTGGGGATATCCTCGCAAATCAGTTCGATCTGGATGTCCCAGTTTTTGGAACAGGTTGGTGCTTCTTAACTAATTCATGCCTGTTCGTATTCATTAATTCAAAAGAAAATGAGTAAATTAACAAATTATTGATTCATTATTCAATAAATTCAGGAATATGAATAGTGAGTGAATAATTTGTTGAAGATTTCTGAATGAATATAGTTCTTCATTTCATTATATACTCAAATAGAATGAGTGACTAATTTTATTCATTTTTCATTTTTGAAGTTATACTTAATACGAAATACATCTGCAAATATCAAAATGTATATACAAATTTTCAATATTTAAGTGAATACTGAAGTAATAATTTCTCAAAATTTTTAAATCAAATGAATTTTTAAATGAATAAATATTTTTTTGCACAGATTCTCGTCAATGCCTCCCCCAACTTGGTCCAGGTCGAGCTGGGTCTTTATGTTTATGGCCATTTAATGAAAGGCGAAGACCCTTTCATTGAATTTTGTGGCGGGAAGATATTCGCCACGGTGAAAAGGCTGGAACTTCCGTTTTCCGCCACGAATTGGTCGCTCGGGACGGTCAGGGTACCACAAATTTTGGCCGCTTTTCCAAATATCGAGGAACTACGGGTTAGTGCGGAGCTGCTCCCAGTTCTGTTCGTGGAGAGGGGTTCATCCCCAAGGCAAGTTATTTAAATAGATTCAGCTTTTTTAATATTAATTAATCCTAACACTAATGGAGAGGTAATCTTCTAGCGTAATTAATACGCTCTCCGATTTTGGCCAAAATTTAATTTAATTAATATGAAATTTTCAAATATAATATCTTTCAGAGGTTATGGTCATATTTGGCACCGATATGAGAAAATCCGTCTTAAAATTGACAAGTTTCACACTTTGCAAATTTCCTGTGCGTTTTATCTTCTCGAATGCAAATATCCATCTCCGTCAAGCGTGAACATAAGCCTTTTTGAAAATTTAAACATTAATTAAAGTTGTGCTCGACTGACGCTAATTTCGTCAAAATCGGAGAGCATACGCGGGGAGACCTCCATCACGTTTTTTTCCACAAAAAACCGGTACCAACTCTTATTTTTTACAGATTCCTATCAAAATTATGGGTCACTAGTGGCATGACAGGCTCCAAGTGCGCCGCATTACTAAATCTGACCCAGCCCCTTAAACATTTAAACATCGAGCGAGCCCACAACCCCTCCGACGACGAGGACGACTGGGACGAGGAAGTCGACGTGGTCCCCTCTTTGTACGAAGTCCTTTCCAAGCATCGCCACACTTTGGAATACCTCGACCTCGGCTTGTCAGCCAAATGTGACTGGAAATTTCCACCTTTTCCGAACCTAAAACGACTAAATTTTCTCAGCGATCTGGAAGGCTACGGCTTTTCCGTTGAATTTGATGGTTCCAGAATTTTAAATTATTCCACGACATTTCCGAAGTTGGAATCGCTAAACTTCACTCCATGGGATGGACGATGGACGCGTTGTTTTCAGCCTTTTTTCCATGCGAATGCTGCAATCTGTCAAAGTGTGAAGAGACTGGACATTTCGGATAATTTCAAATTTTATGAATATGACAATCTGATCGATATGTTTAAGGCTTTTGACGGGGTTGATGCCAAGTTTGCCCGGATTTTAAACTTGTTTCCAAATGCGGACAATGTTTTTATGCAGGAGTTGAAGCGTTACTTGGCGAAGAAAGGAGTTTATAAGTAATTAACTAGGATTAAATAATGTCTGTAGAATTTACAGGATTTATGTATATATAAGTGAGTTCTGATTTAGCATTTATAAAAATTTGGATTTATATATATTTTTTTCGACTTGAAATTTAAAGTTGTAATTCTTCTCTTGAAATTAATTTTGAGAAGTTATTAAATGAAATATTTACTTATCTAGCAATCCAGTAGTTTAGTTTAATATGTTGACATGCGTTAAAAATCATCCAAAAATCCAATTTCTTCCGAAAGCATCACGGAACTGGACGTGTATGAAAAATGACAATTATTTAACGAGAAAACGGGGAGAAAATTTTTCTCCACGTTTGGGGACGTTCATAAACTTCGTAACGCAAATTTTCGGTTTTTTGGACACCCACCCACCCCCCTTTAACATGTGTCACATAGGCACGATATCATTGGGCCCTGACCACCCCTCATTGCGTTATGAAGTTTATGAACGTCCCCTTTGACCGGATTTTAAAATTGTTCCCGAATGTGGGCAATCTTTTTATGTAGGAATTATTACCGAACGTTACTAGGTTAAAGGCACATTGGTAAATAATTGACCAGAAGAATAATTAACTCTAGAGTAATAAGGGGCCGTTCATAAATTATGTAATACAAAAGTCTCGATTTTCTAGACCCGCACTTAGCACCTGTCGTCTAGACACTACATACATACATATTATCAGAGACGTATTACTGGAAATGTTCCATTCCACGTCGCATCGATTTCTCCGAATTAAATATAAAAATTTTCTAGTAGAATTCCGGATGCAACCGTCAATGTAGCATATGTATATATTTTTGATTTGTATGCGACCACTCCCCCTTCAAAAATTCAGGAAAGAAATTGGGAAAAATGAGAAATCAAATGTACACATGGTTATGTAAGAATTAGACCTATACTTGCATTTGACATTTGATTTCCCCCTTGAATACGAAAATTTTGATGCATTAAGAATTTCAAAATTCGAAAATTGGCGGTTTTTTGATCTACATAAAAATCTTTAAAAAAGGCATGGTCCCGGTCATTTTGAGTCTGACAACCTAATGCCAGAATTTACTCCTTGGTAAGAGCTACGTTTTCAGCTTTTGTTGCCCGAGTCAAAATGACCGGGACCATGAGATTTTTGAGGTCAAAGTTTCGGAGGGAGGGGTTTATATGGCAAAAGCCGTAACAAACTTATGGCCGCTTATAAAGTAATGATGTAAATAATTGTAGTTACTGAAATTAATAAAATAGTTTCAAATCCCCCAAAATTTGTAACTGAAGTTTATCTGAATTTATAATTATGATATCTACCTGAAAATTAACGCTACGGGGCTTAACTAATTTTTCAGATAAGCAAATCGCGTTCATCCAAATGGCCCCAAATTTAAAACTTCAGCTTATTATTCTCATGAAGACGACATTCATTCAAAAATTAGCGCTATGAGGCTTATCATTATAGTTATTGATTTTTAAGATAAGCAAATTTCGGTTATCCAAATCGCCTTAAATTTAAAACTAAAGTTTGTCTAGATTGATGATGACGATATCCATTCGATATCGTCATCATCAATTCATTTATGACGGTCATTTCCATTTGTTTCGATTATTTGTGGCTTATTAAGGGGAAGCAAACTACACTTTTCGTGGTGAATCAAATGCTGCAAATTGAACTGGATTTAAAAAATGGTAAATTTAAATAACACGCTATCATAGGAACCTACTTATGTACATATGTCAATGTTTTCTCACGGGTATGGCATCGGAGCATGTGCATGTTGGCACATAACTTTCTAAACATTAAGATCATAAATTCTTAAGTCTTCGGTAATCAAAAAATCTAATTAACGTGACGCATCTTACTTCTAGCGACCAAACTATTGAAGCAACCTGAAGGTCAGAAGAATACCATATTTGACAACTTTATCCTCCTCGGTCTAAAACTGTTTCTCTTTATCGGATACTTCCTTACACCACTACTCTCTGTAATACTGATGGTCAACGGACTAGATCCACAATTCTACTTCGTCGAATACGTAATGAGGACTTATCCATTGATATCCTTTCTTGCTCGCGCGGTGACCTTCAAGAGACGACTCCTACTCCACGTTAGTCTCTTGATGGGCTGATTATGCGCCATGACGGTAGCACTTTACAATGCCGAACGTGTAATGGCCATCTTGTGTGCAGCCGTGTATATCACGATCAATTCTGCCACCACGATTGTCGAGCTTCTGACAAAAATTGTGACTCTTAATAGACAGAAAATTCAAGCTGGGCTGTTCCATGGCCGTATTATGTACTACGTTATAATCAAAATTGCCGTGCAAATCGCGGAGGATATGCATAAGGTGACTGCGTTAGTGGAAATACTTGTCACAAGGGTTACCCTGGTGACGATTACATATGTTTCGGTACGATTAGGACATTTAATGTCCGGTTCTATGCTAGTTTTCTTAGTATTTGTAGGAGTTTGCATGTTCTTGTTTGCAAAAACCGTGCTGAGTAAGACGGGTGGGGCATTCAAAAATTCGAAGTTGTTGAGATCTTTTAAGGACGTAGATATTTATTGGGCATGCGCCGTGACGAAAACAAGATTTACTTGAAGAATGTCGGCAGGTTGTCGGTTATGAGAATTCCGATTGGTGAGGGGGACATAGTGTTTACGTCGGTGAATGGAAATCTGAATGTGAGATTGTCCAGCTTGTTTGTCGAGCTCTGTGTGAATGCGTTGATATTGTTTTAATTGTTTAATACAGTGGAATAAAATTTAAATGCGTATTTTTACTTTTGAAGAGTGCGATTAGTAACATTTAAGAAGTTTGCGTATGCGTAATAAATTGTGTAGGTACTCTGGTTTTATTATCCATACGATCTCGTAGTAAAAAGGTTCCCGGACGATTCTGATCGATATGTTCAAGACTTCTAACCGGGGGAAAGTTGATGCCAAGTTTGCCCGGGTTTTAAACTTGTTTCCAATCGCGGGCAATCTTTTCATGAAGGAATTGAGGAGTTGCTTGATAAATAAAACTACATTTAAAAAACAGCATTCTTCGGTGAGGGTGCGACTAAAAACTTTAAAACGAGATCATTGAGCAAATTTAAAAATTTCGTATTGATAGAATTTTACCTCGCCGTGGGCATTTGTTTAAATACATAAACAAGGTCCCAAAACCTCCGTATACAGCTTTGCTTAGCCCGAGCCAGGGTCCTAACCAGAGACTAGCCTATTTCAATAGTACAGAATTAATGAAATAGTGTCCCACTATTTCAAATAGCAAAAATACAAAAATAGAATAGATAGTGAAATAGAAAAATTGCATTTTGGAACTGAAATTGACAGTTCCAAAATCAATATTCTTCGAAAACATGAAACTTGAAGTTTTTACTTCGTTATTTTTTGCGAAACATTTCTTTTCTGTAACCGAGTGAAATTTTTTATATTTGGTGGTAAATAAAGCCAAATTCCAACTTTGAAACTTTGGTGCAGAATAACCGTACACGTGTTATTCAAATGACCCCCACCGGTCAACCGCTGGACCAATTTGACTCATTTTCGAACTCGATCTTTCGTTTGGGCTGATATACATGTGGTAAAAATTTCAAGTCGAATTTCAAGTGGAGTTTCAGGTCCATTTTTGGGACCTTGTTTATTTAAAACTTGTAATTGGGTTATCAATGACATTATTACACTCACTGCACTATGGCCATTGTATTTGTATCGAGAACAATTTTACTAAATGTGTAGTTTTCAAAATTGAATAACGTTGTGATTCCTTAACCGATCTCGGTCAACTTGGTCTTAAAATGATCAGAAGGAACCACTAATTCTTTTCCAAATAATTTACGATTATGCGATGCTTCAAAATGGAACAATAAACAGAAACGTGACTAGGAGTGGAAACTTTTTTTTTCGCCCATAACTCGGGTAAAAATCATAAATTTGCCAAGTCAAGTAGTACATCGTTTCTAAATTCCGTAGCAATGAGCTGTGCAAAATTTCATAAAAATCGGTTGAGAAATGGCTGAGAAATCGACTTGTTTGGGGTAGGGTAAATGCATGCTTACAAAGTTGTTAGTAAATTTTTTAAGTTGTTAGGTATTTGCCTCACTAAATTTATGGCATTGCGTTGTTGTTTCATCCCATTTTTTGAACCTTTTATAGGAAAAACTTCGTCATTTTTTAACCGATTTTGATCATACTACCCTTAAAATTTGCATAAAAATTTAGTCTAAAATTTGTGCAACTGGCTTTTCGCTGAGATTTGCGAGTAATTAACTAAAAATATAAATGTGTTTCTATGGGTACATTTTGGTTAATAACTCGGGCTCTTCATGTGTGTTTACATAAGACGAAATAATTTCAAAGATAGAAATTTTTTCAGGGACGCGACTACATTTTCTAACCGCTGGATATTCTGTACTTGTCGCTGTAAAGCTCGCCTCACGATTAAAAATTCAGCCACGAATTTTGATAAGCTTCTCATAATAATTATGGATAAGCACTACAGCCTGGCTGTCCTATTTCAAAAACTTTACATCAGTCACTACCCATTTTTATACAAACCTCCATTTTTTATTCGCATGGGGAAAGGTCGGCTGCACATGGTGCGTGTCACGCGAAAATTGGACACAGTACAAACCATGTTCCCACTCTTGATCCTGGTGGGAATAATTTACGCATGTGGACGGGCGATTTCAATTGTAGCGACACAGTCAGACTGTGTCGCTACAATTGAAATTAAAACCGTTTGGCTGAGATAGCTGCAGTGCAGCTATCTCAGCCAAACGGTTTGGCGGAGATATTTGCATCCCAAGAGGAGAAAACGCGCCGTAAAGTTGACAAATTTTACACTTTCTATATTTACTGTCCATTTCTCCTCTGCGGATGCGAAAATCATAAATCAAATTATTGATTTAATGTTTTAATTATGAAAATTATTAATTTAATTATTAAAGTCTCATAATCATAAATGCGAAAATCTATGTAAAAGATTAAATCCGGGTAGCCCCTCTTTTTGGGTGGGTCATAAAAACAATGAAGACCTCCAACGATTTTGCTAAATTTTTTATATGGTGTGATGCAAGTATCGAAGTGTCATCTCCGTGAATTTCATGAAAGAGGCATGCCTTGAACTCCCGTACTAATT